TCTCCAAGCCCCTACCTGTTCACACCTATCTTTTTTTGTTTTTCCTTTCTCATTTAACCATCCAGCTCAGGTCCCACAGTGAACTTTTCTTTGAAAATCAGTCCTTCCCCTCTGGTCTGATTAGTAATTATGACCAATTCCTCTAGCCGCAGCAATGGTTGCTATCTTGATGCATGTAGGTACTTCTTGGTCTCCTAGAAAGGTTCCTCCGGTCAGTAACCATAGTCCAAGGCTTTGGGGTGTGAAACACATGGTAGGAAACCAGGAGTGAACCTAAGTCCTAGGTCTCTGACATACCTATGCTTTATTATGCTTCTCTTCCCCAACACCTCCCCACCCCAGAGAATTCTGTTTCAGACTGTACAATGAAAGAGGAGGTGTTTTAAAAGTAATCTAGTTTACACACATGCTCAAAATCCTTCAAGCTAGACTTCAGCAGTATGTGAACTGAGAACTTCCAGATGTACAAGCTGGATTTAGAAAAGGCAGAAGAACCAGAGATCAAATTGCCAACATCCACTGGATCATAGAAAAGGCAAAGGAATTTCAAGAAAACATCTATTTCTGTTTCACTGATTACACTAAAGCCTTTGACTGTGTGAATCACAACAAACTGTGGAAAATTCTTAAAAGAGATGGGAATACCAGACCACCTTACCGGTCTCCTGAGAAACCTGTATGTGGGTCCAGAAGCAACAGTTAGAACCTTACATGGAACAACTGACTGTTTCAAGATTGAGAAAGGCATAAGACATGGCTGTATATTGTCACCCTGCTTATTTAACTTATATGCAAAGTACATCATGAGAAATGCCAGGCTGGATGAAACACAGGCTGGAATCAAGATTTCTGGGAGAAATATCAACAATCTCAGGTATGCAGATCATACCACTTTAATTGCAGAAAGCGAAGAGGAACTAAAGAGCCTCGATGAAGGTGAAAGAGAAGAGTGAAAATCCTGGTTTAAAACTCAACATTCAGAAAACTAAGATCATGGCATTCAGTCCCATCACTTCATGACAAACAGATGGAGAAAAAGTGGAAACAGTGACAGATTTTATTTTCCTGGACTCCAAAATCACTGTGGATAGCCACGAAATTGAAAGACCCTTGGCTCCTTAGAAGAAAAGCTGTGACCAACCTAGATAGCGTATTAAAAAGCAGAGACATCACTTTGATGACAAAGGTCCATATAGCCAAAGCTATGGTTTTTCTGGTAGTCATGTATAGATGTGAGAGTTGAACTATAACGAAAGCTGAGTGCCGAAGAATTGATGCTTTTGAACTGTGGTGTTGGAGAAGACTCTTTAGTATACCTTGGACTGCAAGGAGATCCAACCAGTTAATCCTAAAGGAAATCAGTCCTGAATATTCATTGGAAGGACTGATGCTGAAGCTCAAATTCCAATACTTTGGCCACCTGATGTGAAGAACTGACTCACTGGAAAAAGACCCTGATGCTGGGAAAGACTGAAGGCGGGAGGAGAAGGGGATGATAAAGGGTGAGATGGTTGGATGGCATCACCGACTTGATGGACATGAGTCTGAGTAAGCTCCAGGAGTTGGTGATGGACAGGGAGGCCTGGCATGCTGCAGTCCATGGGGTCTCAAAGAGTCAGACATGACTGAGCGACTGAACTGACTGAACTGAAGCAGACCAAACAGAGGGCTTAATTGTTCACATTACAAAGGATATAGGGTCTCTGTAAACAGCTTCTCAAGTGTTTCTCCTTATATCCTGAACATCTGAGTTAGAAACTAATAGCAAATGTGTGAACCTCTGCTGACAGATGATCAATCAGGCACTGAAATAGAAAATTCTGAACTTGGCTGTTCAAAAACAATCTTGACATTTTGAGGACTCCCCTGCTGTTCAGTGCAGGACATCAGACACCCCAGCTCCTACTCCACAAAGGGTGGAGCATCAGCAGAAGCCACCCCACATGCCTGCATGCCCGCGGTCGTCCAGAGGTTGTCCCATCCCCACAGTTCACTCTGAGCAACAAGAGCCCCTTTCTCCATGCAGCCCTGGATGGAGCTGGTCGGTTATGAGTAGCAGCAGCTGCTGGGTGTTTGTCTGGTTAGAGCAAACCTGAGGAACAGCGAGGGTAGGAAAACGAGACTGTCTGGTCTCAGCCCTTCTTCATGGCGACAGAAGAGTTTATGTGACCTCCTGCCCTGGCAGAACCAAGACTGACCATCAGTCTCTGAGTTGGAGTCAGAAGTCAGCTCAGGCCTTGCAGTCCCTGCCGGACACGGACTTGAAGGAGGTGGACTGCTCTGCCATCTCATCCCAGCAAGGACCCGTGGTTGGTGCTCAAATATTTACTGACTGAGAAAGTGAAAGAGACAGAAGCCCAGAAATGAAAACATTTAGAGCCCAAACTATTAGACTCAGAAACTAATTATTGCTTTTGAAAGGAAAACCAGAATCAGCAGTTAATTCTCAAAAGTTTGCCTTCCTACCTGTGTGTCTTATAACAGCAATCAGCAAACTGCAATCCCAAACCTGGCCAAATCCAGCTACCATCTGTGAAGGGACCAGAAGCTAAATATCACATTTATACTTGAAAAGAATCCAAAGAATAATATTCATGATGGGAAAAAGGTTAAAGCCTGTGTTTCTGTACTCAGGTCACAAGTCAAGTGCTGTGGGGCCAGGTCCTTTTGCCCAGCGACTGAAGCGCTGCACTTACGTCAGGACGGAGGGTTTCAGACTGAAGCTGACTGGCCCGTCAGACACAAGTGTCACCATGTCTTCCAGGCTGGCAGTGGCCTGGTTGAAGCCTCACGGGACCATGGCTGGGACACAACACACTCAACGTGCCGTCATCCATCGGTGTAAGTGCCCGCTAGCTACCAATGGTTCCTAAAGCATTCCTAAACCCACTGAGACCAGACGATGCCTCGCAATCCATTTATACCTCCAGGAATTTGGGCTGGTGACACGCCGCTGCCCACAACGTGCAGGTGACTCCACCCTCCAAGCGGCGCTGCCCTCTGGAGCTGGAGCAGCTTCACAATCAGAGCATCCATCTTCAAGGATCCACAGTGGTTCTCGGCCTCAGATGCTCCCGCTGCCGCCTGACCTGTGGGGAAGCCCCCTGGACAGCAGTCAGGACAGGTGGCCTCTGTCCTCTCCTGGGGAGGATGGTGAAGGGGGACACATGGCAGCACCATCCTCCACTTCTGGTGCAGGAACTCGCCAGGGGTGACTCAACAAGACGTGTGGGTACATCCGGTCCCTTGGAAAGCATCCGTGGGAAAGCTGTGAGGGGACGGCTCTGGTTGGGTTACCCTCACCTCTGCTCTGACCCAGGCTTCGCCAAAGTGTGGGTCCCAACGCTGTCCTCATCCTCCTGACGGTGAACAGAGAAGGGAGGCATCGAGCTCGCTGACCTTGGCTCTAGGGTTGCTCCCCTGCACCTCCTGAACGCCTCCTGGGGCAAGAGGGGATTGCACCTGTAGAGAACACTTGCTTCTGTCCCCCCAGGGTCCATACCAACATGGAAACAAAGTGCAGGGGAGCTGAGGCCAGGCTCAGACCCCTGTGCCCACCGTCTTGTCTTCCATTTCCACTGTGCCTTCACGTTTCTGCAGGTCAGCCTGTCCCCAGAGCCCGACAGCCCAGGTGAGCCCTGCACCCTCCCACACAGCACCAAGTGAGGGGCTGGAGGAGAGGCTTTCCCACCTGACTGTGCTCAGAGCCAGACCCCTGCCTGCCCACCCGCTGGCCTCCTGCCTCAGCCCTGGGAGGGTCCCCAACTCTTCCCCCCATGAATGACGAAGTCAGGGAGTGACAGTGACATGCAGGGTGGAGGGGTGAGGGGCAGGAAGGGAGAAGAGGGTCTATCCCAGCCTGAGGAGCTGACACGGGCTGTCCCGAGGCAGCAAGGCCCACCCAGATCTCACACTGACCTTGGTGCTGCCATTACTCTGTTCACGGATTAACCTTAAAATCAAGAAGACAGCAGAGATGAGTGGAAGGACCCACTGGAGGGGAGCCAGAGTGGCCTTGATGGGAAGATGCCACTGAGGGACCAAGCACCGGCTACCAGGGATGGCGGAAGACAGAGACCGGCCCAGCAGTCAGCACCGGCAGGCTCTGCTGAGCAGGGGGAGTGAGTCACAGAGGACCTGGTGTTGAGGGAATGGAACCTCTCTCCTCGGAAGCAGTGACACTACGTCCCTCCACGTGGACAGACCACCTGACTCAGGCCACCAAGACATCAACAAGGACGGTAAGACCCAGAATTATGATCAACCTGCCAACCAAACTCCGGCCTGTGTCCCCTGGTCTCGGCACCATGCTGGAGGGCGTGGACCAAGGCAGAAGAAGGAACTCTATGCGTGTATGCGGGAACACACGTGCTGCTTGAAGCGTGGCCACTCCCGGCAGATCTCCTGGCAATGCCCAGTCACCCAAACAGGTGGTCTACACCAGCCACCCACTTCCACACCCCCAAGTTAGCATGGACATCCCTTGTTCCAGGGGAATTCTAACACAAAGGCACTTGGTGAAGTCTGGTGGTTTTATCCTTTCATAACCATTAGGCTGGAGGTCAGTTAACCCACTACCACTTTCCAAGAGACAAAGACAAAAGAAAAACAAAGATAATTGGGTTGGAATCGTCAGCGAGACCTCGGTCCTGGCCAAGGTTCTGGCCAAGGAGCAGCAGAGTTTGTGCACACAGACTCACACTCCTTGTCCCTCAAGGTTACCAATAATCTGTACACTTGGAGAAAATGTGAACAAATATATTTAGATATATTTAAAAGAATTAAAAAAAACATTTCACAAAACATTTGTTGCCATAGGAATTTTTTAGCAATAAATGCCCACATCAAAATTTAAACATTGTTCAAAGTATGATTATCTGTACTGGTAAATAATGCAACAAATTATGTAAACAGAGTGGGATCCATTCCTGGTAGGAGTCACTTCCTTCCTGGGATGGAAGCTGGCCCAGCTCTCCAGGGGACCAATTAAGAAACTGCTATTTTCAGAGCAACAAAAATAAAAGCTTTTATTTGTTCATTTGAATATAAAACAGGCGTTATCACAGATGTACAAAGCTTACTGGTGGTTTAACATACGAGAAGGTTGCTGTCCTTTGCACATAAAAATTTTGTTTGGAACCGTGATTGGCTGAGCACATGAATCTCTCTAACCAGTCACCACACTATGAAGCAACGCTGCTAGCATCTGACTATCAAGGGACCATTTCCCTTGGGGAAAGTGTCAAGCAGGGTTAGATAGATATAACAAACAAGCACCATGAGGAAGCCGCCCTGTTGGTTGGTCTGAGTCTTGGTGGTCGCTGTGTACCCTCCTTTGTGCAAGTTGACCACACGGTTTTATCTGACTTCAAAAGCACAAGGTCACGAGACAAACACTGGCTATGTTCTCATGAACGACTCGTCCCAGCAGTTTCCATTAACAGTACAGAACGATCCTCCTTTATTGCTAAGTGGGTGGTACTGAGAGTCTCATTCCTTTTCTTGCACAACAGAACCTGGATCCCAGCCCTGAGCCCTTGGCCCTCACCGCTGGCACAGGCAGCAGGACCGAGGCCTCACGAGGGCACCAGCAACCTCACAACCCCTCGCTGGGCCTTAAGTCCCGCTTCCTCATCAGTGTCTGACCCGAAACTGCCCCCTCCCACCCTTCCACAGGGCGGGTGTGTGTCCTGTGTGTGTGGTGGGGGTCCGCCCTACCCTTCCACACTGTGGGTATGTGTGTCCTGTGTGTGTGTGGTGGGGTGCCCCCTACCCTTCCACAGTGTGGGTGTATGTATCCTCTGTGGTGGGGTCCCCCACTACCCTTCCACACGGTGTGTGTGTGTGTGTGTGTGTGTGTGTGTGGTGGGGTACCCCCTGGCCCTTCCACATGGTGGGCGTGTACCTTCTGTGTGTGGTGGGGTCCCCCCTACACGTCCACACAGTGGGCCTGTATCTTCTATGTGTGTGTGGTGGGGTCCCTGTGACCCTTCCACACAGTGGGCATGTGTCTTCTCTGTAGGTGGTGGGGTCCCCCTTGGGAAGCAGAAGACTGGGAATGTTTATCTGAAGCATGTGGAGAAATACTCATACACAGCAATAAAATCAAAATATTTTAAAAATCAAATAACTTGTGGAGATGGAAGAAACCCCACATGTAGACAAATTTTTTAAAAATGCCACTTAAAATTGTAACAGCAATTAGCCTTGGATCTCCGAAGTCAAACAAAACTCTCTTGTGGCAAAGGGCTCAGTGCCAGTGCACAGAGCAAGGCAGGTGAGACCACCACAGAGAGAGGGTCTCAGTCTCGCCGGCAACACTCTGAACCAGGCAGACCCCACACAGGAACCCCGGGCACACTGGGGCAATCATGGAGGGGATCTCACTTGGAAGCTGGTACTTCTTCTTGGCTGGACGCCGACGAGCTGGTTCAATCCGGGAGTGTGCGAGGGGCTCTCAAAGTTTCAAGGTGCATGAGGCGGCAGCAGCAGCAAGAGACGGAAATCAGAAGCATGTCCTTGCAGCAGGAGCAACGACAGGGCTGGGGGCCTCCCACTCCAGCCAGCACAGCTGGGGCAGCTCCGTGCATGGCCTCCTAGTGAGTCTCCTCCCTTAAAGCCGCTGAGGGAGTCAGCGCAACCCGCTGCCAATGACCACAGAACAACATTCCTTTTCATACCAAGGACCAAAAAAAGGTGACAAACAAAATGATGAAAACACTGTGCAATGAATTCTTATAGCCGAGGGAGCGCGTGCAGTGGGCCAGCTGCTCCCAGGCCACGCGTTGCGGTGGGCACACGGCACCGAAAGCCCGTCACGACCCCGCGGCAGAGGGAAAAGTGCACACCCGGCTCCAGTCTGCCACCTCCGAGGCGCTGGCCCCACAGCTGGTCTCTGGCTCCAGAATAGAAGCTCTGGGCTGCAGGCCGTCTGGTTGCTCACACCAGCAACGGCGAGAGTCTATCTACAGTGCAGCGGAGGGGACACCATGCAAGTGACAGGTTCTGTGTTTTAAACTTTAAAATTCCCTTTGTTCTTAGTGAACTTATATTTCATATATATATATATCTGTTGTGATGCTATCCACGCAAGATAATACAACACTTTTTATATTAGCAAACATTACAAGACTTTAATATTCTTGAATGTTTTCTCTGTTATACTTCTAAAGAGATCAAAATAAATTAAACGTTTTGTACATAATTACATATGGAGTTAACTTATTTTATCTTTTTAGTTTAGTACAAAGATATCTGCAAGGTAATTGCCGAAATACACCTTATTTATAATTTCCTCTCATTCTATGATAACTTGGAGGGCCGATCATCAGTCTGTTTCTTCAGTACGTTTCTGACAAAGAAAGCGGCTAAAATCTAATTGGAAGGTGCTATTTGGAAGGTTTTCTCGTACCTTGACACACTGTCCTAAAAGGATGGGCTCCAGCAATGGCTTAAATCAGTAGCAGGTCCATGGCATTAAGATTTCATGACACATTAAAACAGAGAAAACAATTCTTTGTCACACTACATGAATTGTTTAAAAGAACCCATCTGGAGGGCAGAATATTTTTTTTAATTGCTATTTTGGCTTAACAAAATACCACTTTTACGAAGAAAGCACTTATTATTCAATAATTAAAAAAAAAAGAAAAGAAAGTTCTTGAAATGGGCTTTTCCAACAAACTAAAGGCAGTTAACGCAAAGTCCTTGTGAGCAAACTTCACATTCACGTCTCATCCCTGTGCGACCAGGACGTGTGGGAAGTCTCCCCACCGCACGGTGAGGCTCTGCTGGGGAAGGTGCCCTGGTGCCCACACTTGCGACACTGAACAGGGGGCCCCAGGCGTCTACATGTTGTAGGCCACGTAGATGAAACACTACGTGGGCATCTACATGTTGTAGGCCATGTAGATGGAGGCCCCAGGTGTCTACATGTTGTAAGCCACGTAGATGAGACACTATGTGGGTGTCTACAAGTTGCAGGTCATATAGATGAGACACTATGTGGCGTCTACATGTTGTAGGCCACGTAGACAGGGGCCCCGGACATACTACGTGGGCGTCTACACATTGTAGGCCACGTAGATGGGGGCCCCGGGCATCTACATGTTGTAGGCCATGTAGATGGGACACTACTTGGCGTCTACATATTGTAGGCCACGTAGATGGGGGCCCCGCGCATCTACATACATGTTGTAGGCCACGTAGATGCGGGCCCTGGGCGTCTACATGTTGTAGGCCACATAGAAGGGACACTACGTGGCATCTACATGTTGTAGGCCACGTAGATGGGGTCCAGCTGGTCGGCTAGGAAGCCGTCACGCAGGTGCATGCGCTGCTTCTCCCCCCGGGAGTTGATGGGGATGACGCCGATGTCCACCACCACCACCACCCCCACCACCAGGTAGTGCTCCTCCAGGACCACGTTGGTCACCAGGGGGACCAGGTCCAGGGCTTCCTGCTCGGACCCATCGAGCTCAACCACAACCACCAGCAAGTTTGTCCAGGTGAACACGGCACTGGAAGAAAAAGAAGCATCACTGTACAATTGGAACGACTCCATTCTCTCTGGATGCCCCACTGGGCTCCTGCTGGGCACTGAGCCGTCTCTGGTCTGCAGGTTCCAGAGCAGCTCTGACACTCCTTGCGTCTACACCTCTTACCAACCTGCTCGCCGGGTGGCAGCCCACCCCCGCCTTCCCTGGATCCACACAAGGCCCTAAGGGTGGAACCCATCCCAAAAGGCACTTGGGAAGCCTGCAGTGTGGTCAGCGGGACCGTTGCTGAGCTGGGACAGTGGGCGCTAGGGCTAGTCCTGACCTGCCTCTGTCCTCAGGGGGTGAATGCGTGTGCACATGAGGAGAAGAGCCACCATGCTGGGTCAGGTACCTCAGTGCTTGACTGCAGACCTGGGGCGCACGGACAGATTCTGTCTCAGGAACTGGGTGAGGGCAACACAGGGGACCTGATTCAGGTGGATGAGTTCCTGGGGACGCCAGGGCTTCATCCAGAAGTGTCAGGAGGACCATCCACCGTATCTTGTCTGCCCAGTTTGTAAAAGCCTAACTAAGTCCAATGTTTTACACTTTAGGCCACCTTGACGTCAGATAGTAGGGCTTTTAAAACATGAATGTTTAAGAACCTTAGCAAACTGGAACCCCGTGGAGGGCGGGGTAAAGCTCTGGGGCCTGCAGTGGCTGCTGAAGTCATATACAGAAAAGGTTCTGTCTTAGCTATGAGGCAGGTAGTGTCTAGGGAAAGTCATCACTGTTTCCTAAAAGCATAGGGTATGCCTGTTAACAAAAAATGTGTATTTTGCTTAGTATGGCCAATGATCACATTAAAATGGAAGAGGGACACTGGAGACTCCTGGGGCTGGCTCTGTGACAAGCGTCACCCCGAGGGAGCTGCTCGAGAGAACTGCACGTCTGTGAGTCATGTGACTGCTCGTGGCCATGCTGGGGACGGTTTTATCCTGACATCTGGCATGGAGGGTGCAGCATCAGGGTCAGTGTGGATCCCACAGTTCACTGAGAAGGGGTGCAGGGGGCAGCGGAAGGCTGCTGGAGCCCACCTGGGGCCACAGCGGCTGAGGGTGGCTGGGCTGTGCTCAGTGAGGCAGTCACAGATGTGACCCAGCCTCACACCCTCCCTTCTCTGCACCAAATGACTGATGGGGCTGCCTAGGGTAGCCACAGCCTAGGGAGGAGGGTGACAGCAGTGTCATGGTGCTGCTTGCACTCTGAGGAGAGAAGCACCTCGCGACCAAGCCTGATGCTTCTTCCCTCTTGGGGCCTCTGAGAGTAGAGAAAGGAGCAAGCTTCACAGTATCTAAGTGACGCTCAGAACAGACAAGAGAAACCCACAGAGGAACCCTGGCCACACACTTTCCAGTGGAAATGGCACCTTTTCAACAAGACAGAAAACATATGAGGGAAGAAACACAAGCCACTTGAAATTATTTTCTTAAAAAATACAAAAACAGAAGGCTGAGATGGCTATTTACACCTCAGTGCAAACTGAGGCGGACCCCTACCGTTTCTGGCTGACACCTTTCTCCACTCGAGTGGAGAGGCAGCTTTAGAGGTGGCGGACTTGTGCTCAGACTGGCTTGTCGCTGCTTGCCCTGAAACAAGGCACCGAGTGGGGACGAAGCTCTGCCGTCCACTTGCCCCTTCTGTCTGCCGAGCCCTCTGCGCGGTGCAGCATGTGGCCGAGAACACCAGCCTGCGTCAGCTGACAAGAGGCAGCTGACACTCGCAGGCCAACCCATCTGCCCCCCTAGAGATTTCAGAAGGAGCCTCCCTGGGGTCTCCTGCCCTGAGCTTGCAGACAGGCCCCCTCAGGCCTCCACCCTTCAGGAAACCAGGGCGGTGAGAGGAACAGCGGCCAGTGGTGCTGAAGCCACTGTCCATGCTCAAGTGCCATGTGAAGGCCCCAAGGAGTGCTGGGCGCTGCTGCTCCCAGGCACACTTGCAAGTTACAGCCACCAAATGGCCAGGGCGGGCACCACGTGGCCTCCAAGGCCACCTCCAAGGGTGGTGGGATGGGTGACCTGTCACTGATGACCCTATGTCGCTGGCAAGCACGGCCTCTCCTGGAGATGAGGCCTTCCCACAGGGCTTGCTGGGTTCAGACTCCCTGTGGACAGTGTTTTCCCCTACATCACGTTTTCCGTAACAAAAAATCAAATAATTGGCTCCTTGGAAACACCCCCCAGCCCTCCGTCCGTCACCTCAGGAAGCGCACCAACTGCGCCAAGGGTACTCATTAGAGGTTCGGGTTCACCCTGGCCCTTGGGCTGCCTGCCTGCTCCTCACCATTCCGTGACGCTCTTGTGGGCTCTGATGACTGAGGTCTCGATGTCTATAGGGTGATACCTCATGCCGCGCAGCTCCATGGCCTCGTCCAGGGCCCCCACCACGTAGAGGGCATCATGGCGCTCTGTGTGGGGAATGAACATTATGTGAGCTTCACTGCAAAACTGCTCGAGTCTCATAACGAATATAGACGAGCGCTACCCCTGAACATGGAAGAGAGGCACAAGAAAGACCCCTGAGCAAGGGTCCGGTTTCCCTTCTCAGGGAAACTGCAGCCCAAGGAGCTCAGTGAAGAGGTGTGGCGGTGAGGGGTGGGGGCTGTGTGGCCATGTGACTGGCCGCATGCCTGCATGGTCCCCTCGCCCAAGGGGCAGCCTCCACATACATCCCTCGGCAGCACTGTCTGAGATGCAGTAGAGTCACATGAGAGGCCCCAGCACAGCCAAAGCAACACCAAGCTCCCTGTGGTTCCATCACACGAGGGTTCGACTCTCTTACCACTACATGTCTGAGTGGGAAAGAAAGCGGAGTTTCCGAGAATGTTCATAAACAAAGATTCCCTTAGTTCATGTAATTGGTAAAGTTATTCTTGTCAATTGTGTAAACTTTGGGATAATGACAACATGCAGTCCATCTTTCCTTGAAAACAAGGAGATCTCTTTCATCTTCAGGGTACTGAATGCATCAGGGTGAGTTTATGAGAAGTGACTGACACATGAAATACCAGAAAATAAATCTTCTCCATCTCTACGCTAAGGCAGACAAGATGGAGGCAGTCACTTGCTGACTTCTGACCACAGCTGCTGGGGCCTCCCACCCCTCCCAGCCCACAGACTCCACAGGCAGAACCAGCGCTGAGGTCTGGGTGTTGCTAAGCCTAGTTCCTCAGGGAATCCCAGGGGGCACCCTCTATGACTTCCCCAAACTGAAAATACAATGCCAGCCAGCGACGAGATCAGCGCCGCCCCAGCCTGATCCCTGTGATGGGAAGGTGTTTTCTGAGCTTTTGCCTGCAGTGAGAAGCTGAGCGGGCTTCACAGCCAACAGGATGCTGTGTAGACCAGCTGCCAGCCTTATAATGTGTCTGTGCTGAGACCCCAGAGCCTGCTCGGACATGCCTGCCCTCTATGAGGGTGAAGAGGCTGGGCTCCCATGGAAAGGAGCAAGCCACGCCCCTGCTTAACACCAGTCTGAAGTTAGAAGGTCTGAACAAAGAACAAAGCACACAAAATGGAATCCAGCTCTCGGACGATGCAAAATACGGAATTTTCTTATACAACTTACCTGTTTCAAATTAGCATACAATCATTTCAGCTTTCCTAAATAAATGTTTTGTTTTTTAAATCTTAAAAAAATAAAAGACAATACAACACCAGAATATTTCGATACTTTTCCCCTGCATTCTTCCTGGTCTGGCCTGGCTGGCACGGCTCCTACTAGGCAGGTGGGTTGGAAGACTTGCTGATCTCCGATGCTGGCAGATCTCACAAGAAACTTCAGGCCCCCCGCCCCGGAGTAACACCCAAGTCCTGCCTCTGTTTTCAGTGAAATAAGGAGTGGAGAGAGGACTCCAGGATCAGCAACGTGAGGAGCAGACAGGCTCCTACATGTTGGTTCTGTGTCACACCCACACTCAGCACTAGCCCTCTGAGCTACTGTTCCCTGAGAGCGCCTGGCAGGACCAGAGCACTCGAGGCCAGCGCCTCCCGTCTGGAAGAGAACAACACAGCTTCAGGGGATCCTGGGTGGGGCTGGCAGCGCCAGAGTTGGTGACAAGCCGGTGAGCTGCACTTACAGGCACTTGTCAGAGACAACACAGCACCCGGCCCCTGCCCTGGTTTTACATGTGTTCCTAGCTCACGGAGGAGGACAGAGCATGGGACGTGCGTCCTCAGCTGCCGACGTGCGCAATTTGAGCAGGCTCTCTCACCCTGGGCTCTCTCTCTCGCGCCCCCACCCACCCCCTGCCCCATAGTCTCTCTCGCCCCAACCCAGCTCTCCCACCCTTGGCTGTCTCCAGGCTGCCTGCAGCAAGCATGCAAGCACACACACTCTCCTGGGACTGGGATCCCAAACCCACACAGGTTTTCGGTGTCTGAGGACTTCCTGCCTCCTATTGGGAACTCTCACCTCCATTTGCATCAGTGAGTTCAGTTCTCCGTAGGAATCCCAAGTAGCCTGTTCGTGCCCAGACTGTCTGTGTGTCTCCAAAGCTTAATCTTGAGTTGAAGTGATCTGACTGGAGGGATTCATCTCCATAAATAGTGAAGTAACCACTGGCATTGTGGGCACTGTGAACCCAGATCTGTAAGGAAGCAAAATGTACTATATAAGTTAACTTGACATGGTGTCCAGGGCAGAAATTACTTTTACAATTCAACAGATTGTATTCCGTCTGTCCCTGGCCTGCAAAAACAAGACAGCTTGTTTCCAGAGAGACACAGACACCGCAAAGTTTGCTGAAATGAAAACATGACAGCACACTCATGGTTGAGCAAACAACCAAGCCCTCATCTCCGGAGAATCCTATTAAAGTAGATGAACTAAGGGCTTTTGAAATAAATATCAAATGAATGAGGTTGTAAGAGTTTCCTTGTATTTATTCAAATGTACTGATTGCTTCCAAAAAGCAAGCTGGAAAAATGCTAAAAAGCTTTCTGATTTATTTTTCCCCTTCACTTGGTTTGTATACTTTGGGGAATATATTGTAATAAAATAACACAACACAAAAACTCTAGAAGGGAAAGGCATTGTAACAACAAAAAATGGAGAATAAAAATGCCTGAATGTTGTATCTTGGGAAATGGTATTTGAATCAGGGACAAAGGGTCCAGCCAGCAGCCCTCAGCCACACCTGCCAGGGCAAACCAGGCAGCAGCCCAGGGATGAGGGTCTCCAGCAAGTGAGGGGAAGAGAACCTGTCAGACAGGTTTCCAGCACAATGCCAGGGTACAGTGGTCTCCGCCCCTTGGCCCAGCACTCAGCTCTAAGAGGATACGTGCTATGAGGACAGCAGGGGCCAGATGCAGCAGGCAACATGTTTAATTTTCATTCTTAGATGTGCATTTAAAGGAAATTCCTAAATAAGGCCTGTATAGCATTTCATCATTTCGATTTTGATCTTCACATGGAGAGAGATGAGTGAGGGGCCAATAAACTGCCCAAGAAGGAGAAGGGTCTGGGGGTGATGGTGGCTGAGATTCAGGCCCCATCACCACTTCCTCCCTCACCATGTACACGTACGTGTGTGCCATGGTGCCCAAGAGAGCAGCGGGGCTGGTGTGTGAGTCTGGTGCCATCAATGGCAGTGTTTTGTGTGCGGCCAGGACAGGTTAGAAGAAGAGAGGCAGCTGACCACAGGGTGGGTGGCACCTATAGGAGTGTCCTTGTGGGCAGGTCATGGTCACTGTGGCCTGGCCTTGGAGAGGAAAATGGGGTTGGGGAGGCAGATGTGTTGGAAGCAAGTTAATCAGGGAGCGAAGTGGACGGGAAGGGCAGAAGGGTGCGCGTGGCCAGCAAGCAGGGCGAGTTTCAGGACAGCAGCCCAGGAGGGGTCTCCTGTGGCCGCATGCAGTCAGCAGTGTGAGGGGCACAGGGTGGGTGGGGAGTCACTGGGTAGGTTGCATCATCAACACAAGGGAGTAAAAGTGACTTTCTGACCCAGACAAACGCCTGTTGTGTCCCCAGTCTGCCTGCCAAGGTTGTTGGTGCTGCTATGATTCTGGGTTTGGCAAGATTCCCTCTGCACATTCGCTATCATGTTCCTGATGAAAGACTTCTCTGCTGTGAAGCAGGCACATGGAACTCAAATGGAGAGCTGAAAAACAAGGAAACTCTGCCCACACACAGGAAGTTTCCTCTTGGCTAAATGTTTTGAAGAGAAATGCGATACTCGTAAGTAAACACCACTTCATAATCCTGAAACTTCACAGACACCCCATTCCTCACCTCGCCCAGGTGTGAGTCTCCCAAGGGTCCCTTCGTTTCTGGATTGGCGATGATGATCCGCACCCCTGGAAGTATCTGTGTGGGGAGGAACAGTCTTGTCAGTGGGCACACAGGCACATGTTTCATGCCAAGTGCCTGTTTTCCCTATTAAAATGGTTTAGAAAGTGAATGGCTTTAAATCAAAATTGCAAACCACAGCATCACATAATGACAGCAAATTGAGGACATTTCATTGTAATTATTTACAATGACAGAGCCTGTGTTAAAATGATCCTAAAAGTGAGACTTTGAACAAAAACATGATAAATGATATAATTTAACAAGCTTGATGCTTGCAAAGTAGAACTAGTGGAGCGGCTTTGTGGTGTCCAGAAAAGAAAGCAGTCCCGCCAGAGCGTCTGCGGCACCATGCGGATTGCGGCCCTGACCCTCCTCTGCCACACTGCCCACTTTTCCTGTTGGCTGACAATAGTACAACATTGATACTGAGCACCTCCTTCTTAATGGACATTTAGCTCAGAAATGCTCTGAATTCTACCGGAACCATGTAAAGAATCAAAAGCTGATTCTGGAAATTTAGAATGGAGCCCCTCTTGGTTCCTCTACTAACTGTGCAGCTGAGATAAGGCAACACACCTGTGGTGAGAGCTATGGGAGCATGTCTGGTGAATGACCCACCAGGTCGAGCTGGGTGGGTGGGCAGTGTTGAATCCCACCTTAAAGAAAACAGTACCAAGAACTCTAACCATCAGCCATGAAGACATAGACTGTAAAAGGTCCCAAACAACATGCCTCTAGAATTATGTTAAGTGGAGAAGAGATCTGACAATAGGGGCCGGGTGGTGGGGGGAAGTCTTCACTCAGGTTTAAATAAATTCCTTGCACTTTAGTCCTATAAATGACACAACCACCACAGCAGGAACAACTAGCTGTCATGATAACCAGTCTTTGTCTAGTTTCACAGTAAACAGGCTCTGCCTGCTGGCCAGGCCCATGGACATTTGGACCCAATGTACCGACGACACTGCCAGCCTGCCTTTCTCGGCTGGGGTAACCATGCCCAGAGGTGCTAAGTATGAGTGAAGAGGCTGAGGAGCCATCCGGATGGCCTCTTCCTTTTCCTGCTGCTCCTCCTCTGGGCGGAATGCAAGGAAGGGCTGCAGCTGGAAAAGCTGCTGTAGACCTGGAGACACCCGTGGGAGTGGAGGCCACACAGAACAGAACAAGAGAGAAGGTGCCATGGCCCTGGGGGCTTCCTTTGACTTTCTGTGCTCATGGTCAAAACCAGTTGATATATTCAGTTCAGTTGCTCAGTCATGTCCAACTCTTTGGACTTGATATATTATTTTTCAAGAAAACTTTTTTTTTTGGAAAAAAGTCTTCCATGTACTTCTTAACCTTCCAAAGCCCCCAAACTGAGACTTGTGTTCAAATGTATATGCACATGCCTTCCTTCTGTACTTACTTTTCCTGACTCCATCAGGGGCAAACTATGAGGAGAGCCTCTTTCCACCAAGCGTACTCTACAAAGAAAAACAGAAAGTGTTACTGTGTGCTCTGGACCCTGGCTTCCTCCTCTACATCTAGCACTTGGGTCAACGCCCAGCAGTCAGATGGGCACATTAGCTCTGTTGACAAGCATTACCCAATGCAAAGAGAGTCGAGAAGTCAAAGAAAAAGCAGACAATGGCAGAGAGGAGACAGCGGGGGCCACCACACAGGCCACAAGAGTATGGAGATACAGCCCCACATATCAACCTACAAACATCGGGAATGACTCTGCATTGATGTAACGGGGTCAACACAGTGTTTGCAGAAAAGGGAGAGTGAGGATTAAGCTGCATTCCTCAAAGAGCCGCCACTCCAGTGACAGAAGACCTCTTGGGCCTGTCCCCTGTAAACACAGGCGGCCGCAGACCCCACAGCACAGCATCCACCGCCTCAGCCAGGCACATTGGAGAGGACTGGCCAGTTCAGACAGCACAATCTCCTTTCTGGAAAGAAGTGCTTTTCAGTCTAAGAACTATCTGCTGGTGAGGTACTCAAGAACTGTGGAGGACCCTGGTGCCAGTCACAACCCAGCCCACTGAGCCCTCCTCAGCTGTATTTCTTTATCCCATGCCTGGGTTCAGTTCTCTCCATGTTACTCTGAGTGTGATGCTAACCAATCATCTACAGACAACTTTTACTTCAGGAAAATAGAGTGAAAGAGAACCCCCTCATTTCTAATTTTATCAATTTGATTTCTCTTTTTTCCTTGATAAATCTGGGCTAAAAGTTATCAATTTTATTTGTCAATGAACCATCCTTTTAGTTTTATTCCTCTTTACCACTATTTTGTTTCTATTTCACTTTTTTCTGCTCTGATCTGTATGCCTTCTTTCTGGTATTAACTTTGGGTTCTGTTTGTCCTTTCTCTAGTTGCTTCAGGTATAAGATTATGTTGTTTCTTTAGCTGCTTCAGGGCAGCCGGCCTCCCGTCCTCATCCTGCCCTCGGAGTTCATCTTGTCTCCTGTCCCTGCTGGGCAGGTGGATCTTACCTGAAATGAGAAAACTCTACTGCTAAGCATTTCCCTGTGGCCTCCTCCCTGCTGAGTGGTGGCAGGGACCTGGGCAAGCATGCAGGGTGGACAAACAGTTTCTTCTCTGGTCAGCATGGAACAGTGCTCTATGTCAGTGATTCCAGGCAAGCAGGAAGGGGCACTAGGACCACTCAGGGGTGGTCCTGTCTTGTCAGAAATGCCACATGGCGGGGGTGGGGGTGGGTCTTTCACCCACTTGAGAATATCCACAAGAGCAAAGAAAAAAACCAGCCCTAGAAGAAGGCAGAGCTGTGTCTCCCAGAAGAGCTGAGAGACATGCCCATGCATGCAGCACATGTGAGAGGGATAGGGGCTCACAGAAACCCAGGAAACTTGGGGGAGATAAGAGGGCATAGGCTGGAGTAAGGGGCAGCTCTGTCCACCACCTGTGCACCACAGACAGGGAGGCTCTCTCCTGACTGCATATCATCACCCAGCACTCCCAGGACATGACACAATCAGGAAACCACACCTCCTGCCCCACGGGTGCTGTCAGGACAGGAGCTGGTCACTTCAGAGCCATGGAAAACAGCCAGTGTGGCGTGTCCTGCTGCTGGTCAGGAGGGGCAGGGGTGTGCCTGTCTCTTGATGGCCACTCCAGTGATCACTGGTGACCTGGAGGACGAGCGCCACTCACACCAAGAGGAGCTGATGGAGCCGAGTGTGGTCTACCAGGCGGCCCTGTGTTAAGTGTGCTGATGGTGTTCTGTATCTGGGGTGCCCACAACAGCAAATTAGGGAAAAACCCCAATGACCATTTTGGGCCAACTCAACATAAAATTATCTTCAAATAATTTTTGTAGGGAGTAAAGCAAATTTCTTTTTAAAGCCTACTAGTTATGTTTGGAAATGTTATGCCCCCGAAAGAGGTCACTTAATCTCTTCAGCGCTAAGGGTCTGCATCTTGAAGATGTCTGGACAGGCCTCTGCCGCAGGGGGCTGGTGTCTCTTGGGGACCAGTGGTTCTCTCTACTAGACAGGCTGTCTCCTGGGAGTCCCTGTGAACAGCGGGGTCTAAAACGAGGGTTCCAGGGGACCAGGAGGCACCACCAAGAGTGGAGAGGAACAAAGTGTTCAGGGGAACAAAGTGCTTCTTAGTCTGAGCACCACTGCCATTCTGGTCATCTGCTGTGCGGCAGAGGCCTGTCCTGGCCACTGCAAGATGCTCAGCTGCCTTGCGGCCTCCACCCACCACACGCCACCAGGACCACTTCCCATACCATGCTCATCAGACACAGCACCACGGCAACCCAGCCGCAGCTGGGCACACCACCCGGGTCTGACTGGCCTGCATGGCATGCCAGGCCCCTCTGCAGCCTTGCCGCCGACACTCTCTCACATGGGAACTCAGCAGGCAAGAACACACTTGGCCAGGTCAGGCGGGGGCTCCTGGTTTCCCACCCACAACTCTCCCTAGCTCTCACATGTTGTGAGCAAATGCATATGTCGGTAGGCACCACTGAGAACAAGCAGACACGGAGCACAGATCTGGCCCTCATAACACATCCACAAGCACCTCTAGCCACTTATAAAAGGACACTATGTATCAGAGTCACTCTATTATCATGTCAAAGAAACAGCAACGCATGGGCATCTCCACAACCACACAGAGAAACAACCCAATCACTAGGGATGTCTGTAGAAAAACGACAGAATTCTCTCCCCCCTCAGGCACATCAGGAGGGAACCCTTTGGGAGCTGAAGTTCTGCGACAGATTCTTTATCTTGTCCCCACCTTCTGTCCCACCCTTTGAGGTGGACTCACAAGTATCCACCAGCACACTCCCTTTCATTCTTGTTCAAGGCTGCTTATTAGGAAGCTGCACAGAAAGGTAACTTGACTTACAGTTTAGCTTTTCCTGGAAATGCCTTGACAAAAATTATCGATTCATGCAAAGAAATGTGAGCAGTGTTGGTATTTTATGAGGTGCAAAACAGCGGCTGACTAGTGCTCAAGAAAATGTCAAGTCTGGCAGAGTGTGAGAAAAGGCCACTCTGACTGCAGCAGCTCTGGGACAGCTGTTCTCAGAATCAGGAGCTGCTGCCCCAGTGGGACGTGAGGTGATGCACGTGGAGTGCTGCGAGAGCTCACTCCGTGGCCCCTGTGCTCGGGGCAGATGACTGCACTCCTCCTTCCAGAGGAGCGCTGCACGCCAGGTGCTGGGAGAAAAGTCACAATACCTGTCATGTCTCAGAGCTCTCATGTCCACATAGACGGTGGTCGGATCGGGCCCCGATGTTCCCTGCAAGCAAGGACACAATGCGATTAATCCCGTTTGACTGAGAGGAGCTGCGTCTGTGCTTCCTACTGGCTGGGAACGTTTCTTTGGTGTCTGAAACTGAACAAAACCCAAAAGCACTAAAACCACACCTCTCACTTGATAACCTAATTCCAAAAGAATATCTTGCTAAGATAATACTGACTTTCACATAGCTTGACTGTTAATCATTTATGAAAATTAGAAAGGAAAGGGGCATCTCGCCAAATAAAGAGGCTGAAGCTACAGAGGCAGCGTTTGGCAAAAGCAGGTTGTTGAGGAAGTGAAGCATCATTTGCCGAGAGGCTTTCACCACATGCATCCCCAAAAGTGTATTTTCAGAGCTCAAGGTACTGAAGCAGAACATGTGACATGAGCTGACAGACTGAGGAAGAGGAGATAAAAGACAATGATCTTGTTCATTCTGGTTCTACTTGTGCCCTGGTTTTCCTCCAGGGTGGGAGGCCATTTTTGCCCAAGAAACAAGTCACAGAGGTAGCATGTTTATCATTGGTCATCTGGGCAGCACCCTGTGGTCTGAACTGTTTATTTAAACACAGGGTCCTGAAATCTTATCTTGAGATCATAAATCTCTTCAAAATACATATGGAGTTGACTTCTGAACAATGATCTCTGTTCATATAACAGCAATGGCATTGAAGCTACCTTACAAACAAAAATTCTACATACATTTCCTGGGAAAGTAATGCACTACTTTTGGTGGAAAAAGAACCTAAAAAAAAAGTCTGCCAAAAAAGAGACTCTCAGATTTATTTGAAGAACTACACTAAAATTCTTCATGAGAGAATCTTAACCTTGTATCAAAGGCACACTTCAGTATAAGAAAAAGAAAAAAATAAAGATACCTTCATTACACCACACTGGACCACACGATAACCTCCCCCGCCCCGAGAAAGCACATGCAATCAGCCTGGAGGAGGAGCTGCCCTGCCATGAGGACACAGCACCCTCGCTGACCTGCGGCTACTCTGGGGGCTGTGTCACAGACCAGAGCTGAGTGGAGGAACAGTTTGTGGTCTGAGCAATGCAAAGCACGTAACCACAAGAGGCCAATTAAAAACCAACAAATCAGAAAACAGGTCACTAGAAGCAAAAAATGAGGCAAAACAGAGATGACCCCAAACTGGCAAAGACACCACAGATCGTGTAAATGGAAGCACAGCGTTTGTCACAAATGCAAGACGTCTGAAGAGATGTGAGACATGACATCACGCTGGCTGTCAGCCCTCCTGCCCACGGGTCCACAAGCCCAGCCCATCTCCGCACTCAACTCCTAGTCTGCCCACTGCTGGGAGCTGATGAAACTGTGTGGTTGCAGGCACTGGTGTGGACGGGCGGGAAGTCCCTACCTGCTCGGCCAGCTTCCACAGCCGGTGAGGCTACAGCAGCAGGAGGTGGGAGCAGAGGACACCAGACCAACAGAAACCGAACATCGAGGACACACACAGACACAGAAACAGACAACCCAGCAGTAAAAGTGGGATGAAGAAGAGGGAGGGGTGGGGAGGAGAATGCAAAAAGCAGAGAACAAAGTAAAAAGAAGATCAAAAACAATGTCAAATATGGAAATCATTAAAAATCAATCACTGTACCATTAAAGGCTAAAAAAAAATCTAAAAAGATGTTCACATATCCACAGAGCAACAGAGGAGGTAACAGATGACTGGTAACGGGCAGGTTGGCCTGAGGAACTGCTTTTCATACATACGGTCAGTGGGTGTTGATTTTATGGTACTTTTCTCTAGTTTCTGTTCTTTACTGAGAAAGCGGGGAGTATGAATTTAATTGACCAAATCTGAAGAGTGTTCCTCACTGAAATAGCTTCAAGTTTCTTACTACAATAATGAAGGTGACCCTGGGAGTCTGTGAATCTTCAGGCTGTCTAGCCCTGCTCATCTACAAGATTAGGAGAAGAAAAGAGTTCAGAGTACGCATGAAGCATGGACCAAACCTCAGGCTCTTCCCTCAGTGGTGCGAGAGGGACTCCCTACAGTGGGCACCCTGCCTCCCCCTCAGTTCTGTCCTCTAAGACGCTGTATCCCCTTCCCTCTCATCTGCTAGGTTCCGGTCCCCACCTCCACCATCCAAAAGCATCCAAGTCCACAGGGGAAAGACCCTAAAGCCATTAGGGGCAGCTCCTCGGCTGCTGTGAGGCTTCCCTGGCTGACTGTCTCTCCCAACATTCCAAGAAAGCTGGATCAAGCCCAGGTTTCTGCATGGGCACAGTCCTGTTTGGGTCTGGCCTCGTGCCGCCCCACTCAGATACCTCATAATCTCATGCATCATCAACATTTCTTTCTGCAGTCACCACAACCTGCTAGCTGCACAACTCAGCCTCCCCAAGACCAGGGGACACTTCTGGAAGGGGGCCCATGGACACTAGAAACGTGATTCTGAGAGCACAGCTCAGATGCAGCTTCATTCCTCGTCTGGACAAGGTCCCTGGCTACATACCTTGAGAGATGGAGGCCTGCCCTCTCCCAGAGCACTCAGTCCAGTCGAGGGCCCTGAGGAAGCATAGTGGGCCATCCAGCTGAGAAAACATGCCCTCAAACAACAACCAATCAACTGAAAACACTCACTGACTTCACACACGCTGGTAATTCTGGGGTTCCATAAGAAAAATGGCATGACCTTCACAATACCTTCAAGCACTTAGGACAGGGCTTGGAATTTGGGAAATACCTTAGCATTTCTGTTTTTCATGTTTTTACATTAAGGAATTGATGGTGATTCTCTCTAGGCAGATGGGTGTTATTTATTGACTAGTCTGTATTTTCTGATTTTTGTTTCTTAAAATAAATATCCTTTTGTAAAAAATTCAGTCTCTAAAAATCCATAACTTCTCAAATTGTTTTCCTTATTTGTATAATCCTTCTTAAAAATTCAGTTTTGGTATATTTAATATCTTTATTACACATTTCTTATGTGTCAGGCCCTGCAGAAATACAATGGGAACAAGAGATGTGGGGCTTCTGCTTTCAGACCTCAACCTCAAGCAATGCCTTCTCTGTTTGTTTCGGATCAGTTCAGTTCAGTTCAGTCGCTCAGTCATGCCTGACTCTTAGCGACCCTATGGACTGCAGCATGGCAGGCCTCCCTGTCCATCACCAACTCTCGGAGCTTATTCAAACTCATGTCCATTGAGTCAGTGATGACATCCAACCAGCTCATCCTCTGTCATCCCCTTCTCCTCCCACCTTCAATCTTTCCCAGCATCAGAGTCTTTTCCAGTGAGTCAGTTCTTCGCATCAGATGACCAAAGTATTGCAGTTATTTCAGCATCAGTCCTTCCAATGAATATTCAGGACTGATTTCCTTTAGGATGGACTGGTTTGATCTCCTTGCTATCCAAGGGACTCTCAAGAGTCTTCTCCAACACCACAGTTCAAAAGCATCAATTCTTTGGCGCTCAGCTTTCTTTATGGTCCAACTCTCACATCCATACATGAACTACTGGAAAAACCATAGCTTTGACTAGACGGATCTTTATTGGCAAAGGAATGTCTCTGATTTTTAATATGCTGTCTAGGTTGGTCATAGTTTTTCTTTCAAGAAGCAAGTGCCTTTTAATTTCATGGCTGCAGTCACCATCTGCAGTGATTTTGGAGCCCAAGAAAATAAAGTCTCTCACTGTTTCCATTGTTTCCCCATCTATTTGCCATGAAGTGACGGGACCAGATGCCATGATCTTAGCTTTTTGAATGTTGAGTTTTAAGCCAACTTTTTCACTCTCCTCTTTCACTTTCATCAAGAAGCTCTTTAGTTCTTCACTTTCTGCCACAAGGGTGGTGTCATCTGCATATCTGAGGTTACTGACATTTCTCCTGGCAATCTTGATTCCAGCTTGTGCTTCATCCAGCCCAGTGTTTTGCATGATGTACTCTGCATATAAGTTAAATAAGCAGGGTGACAATATATAACCTTGATGTACTCCTTTCCCAATTTGGAACCAGTCTGTTTTTTGATGTCTGGTTCTAACTGCTGCTTCTTGATCTGCATACAGATTTCTCAGGAGGCAGGTAAGGTGATCCAGAATTCCCATCTCTTGAAGAATTTTCCAGTTTGTTGTGATCCACGCAGTCAAACGTGTAGTCAATAAAACAGAAATAGACGTTTTTCTAGAACTCTCGTGCTTTTTCTATGATCTAACGGACACTGGCAATTTGAAATCTGGTTCCTCAGGCTTTTATAAATCCATCTTGAACATCTGGAAGTTCACGGTTCATGTACAGTTGAAGCCTGGCTTGGAGAATTTTGAGCATTACTTTGCTAGCGTGTGATGTGAGTGCAGTTGTGTGGTAGTCAGAACATTCTTTGGCATTGCGTTTCTTTGGGATTGGAATGAAAACTGACCTTTTCCAGTCCTGTGGCCATTGTTGAGTTTTCCAAATTTAAATTTGGAGTTTAAATTTCCAAATTGAAATTTCCACTTTAACAGCATAATCTTTTACGATTTTGAAATAACTCAGCTGGAATTCCATCACCTCCACTAGCTTTGTTTGTAGTGATGGTTCCTAAGGCCCACCTGACTTTGCACTCCAGGATGTCTGGTTCTAGGTGAGTGATCACAGCATCATGGTTATCTTGGTCATGAAGATCTTGTTTGGGATCACAATCACATATTTTTTGATTTATGCAAAAATTAATAGAAAATAAACATTTCCACTGACCAACTCTGCCTCGCACCTGTTGCTGCTTTTGCCCACATTTTTGTACATTCACGTCACAGGGCGCTTTGCAGAACTGTCAACTCAGAGACGTCCTTCTTGGCTACCCTAACTGTAAAACTGCCTCCTCTGTCCCCCCTTTATGCTCTTACTTCATTTTTCCTAAGAATATTTTACTCGCTTACTGAAAAATTCATCTCTATGTCTACTGTCCATGTGGTTCCCTGAGGACCAGAACTGTGTCTTGAGTTTCTCTAAGTAAAATGTGACTCTGGCTGACATGAGGCTACTCCCAGGATGAAGGATGCCAGAGACACCACATCCACATGTGTGGTAACAGGGTTCTGCCCATAGCTTGCTGTGTGCTGTGTCCCACATAGCACACATGGTCAAGTTCCCCAAACCATAAGACTCCACAGCCCCGATACACACCTGGTTGCAGGCATGGCAGGGAGAGAGCCTGCACTGCTTAGGGGGACGCACCTGAATTTACCTGATTTATCTCTACTGCCAGACTCATTAATACTTTCAGCTATTTTCTAATACTGACCATTCAGAAAAAGAAAAACTGGCTGAAAATTAGGTGAGAGTAAAGCACACAAGTAGAAAAACTTAAAATGTACAAAAACCCTTAAAGACGCTGCCAACATTCCAAAACAGCACTGTGACCTGGGATTGGCAATGTCAACTTTGACCTCCACATCAGGCTGATGGGACTGTCTTCTATAAAAGAATATATTATTCTTTTTTAAATTAAAAGCACAGAACTTTAAGTATTCAACATTCTTACAACACATATTTATTAAATATTTACAAAGCACCAGGTCCAGTTCTAGGTGGTAAGGACACAGACTGATGGAGCTTGTATTTCAGGCCACAAGGTGCCAAATACCTATGTGTCAACTTCATTCTTGGCTTCTTACCCTTATTTTCTGTCACCTCTACCTTTTCCATTATTTTTAGTGTATTTTACTTTTCCTACTTAATTTACTGCTTCCTTATAAAAACTTCTTAAAACATTTTGGATTAAGTAGATGGAAATAAATGGAAAAAAGAGGTAAATAACATAAGTGCTTTATTTCTAGTGTCTACAAAGTTTCAATTTTATATAATAAAGTGTTGTAGAATTCTTTGTTGCCTGTATGAAGTGGACAAGTGCTAAATGATATTTGTTAATATGGGATCTATTCTATGTCCTTCTCCCTTCATCTGCCAGCATTCCGAGAAAGAGAAGAATAACATCGCTGTGGGCAGGGGCCTTTCTCTCACAGATTCCTGTGGACTCGTGATTCATTCCCCACTGCTTGCAGGAGAAAGGAGTATTACAGAATCCTACAGCTGGATTCATCTAATGAGTGCATTTCTCATTTCTTCTCAAGCAGACCAGACAAAGGAGAAGAGGAAAAGAAAATCTAGCATTTAAAGGACGAGCTGGGCAAATCAATCCAATCCTTCAGATTACTTCAATCACAGAACAAGGCTCAATGGACTCCTGAGGACTCTGGTAGTTACACATGTTTAAAAATGGAGCTGATTCAAAGCGAAGGGAGACAGAGGCAAGGAACATCTAATGAAAATCAGAAAAGCTTCCTGTCGCTAATTTTTCTAAAGCGATCTCATCAGACTGATCACGTGGGGACAGTCAGTCCTTTGTCTCCGAAGTCCAAATACTGAGAGCCCTAGCCAGGAGGCAGCAGACCAGGAGCTTCCCATGGTTGCCCAAGGGGAACTAGAAGCAGCACCTCTGGCCACACACAGGGGACATGATAGGCGCCAGGGAGGGGAGCTTAGGAGCTGATTTGCGGCAACTGTCCTCCACTCCAGCACCTTCTGTGAAGGAAGTTCCTGTCCCTTTCATATGCTCAAAGGAACAGAGCCTGCAGCTGAGCCTGGGACCAGCTCATTTTGGCTGAGGCGGCCTGAAGGGCACCGGGGGAGGTTCCCACACGACCTTCCTCTCCTTCATAAACTAGATCTCAACTGAAGAGTTCAGAGCAGGAGAGAACAGTGGGCTAATGAAGAGACAGGAAACAAATATTTTTGGCCACATAGGATACAAGGCTACCTTATGAGGGCAGCCTCACGTACAGCTCTACCTTAGAAATGCAGCAATTAAGTGTTACTTCAATGGTGTCATCACAGGAGCAAATTTGTGAACCTGCTTAATGTACTGGAATTCTCCCGAAAGAAATCACTGTCTGCATACAAGAGACTAAGTACTTCTAGGCACAGGATTTCTTGCCACAGTGAAACATTTGTTTAGTATCTCATCTTTAAAGAGCCTGACTTGAGAGGTTTGGACAAACAGCAACTCTTGCTACAAAACTTAAAATGTCCCAGGACAGAGTAAGCCTGTGAACGCTAGTTATGAATAATGGTTACTGAGAAACGCAGACTTTAACTAAAAGAAAAAGGAAACAAGTGTGCACCAACCACATGCATTTGATTGAAAGATTCCTTCTATGTGGGTTAGCATCAGCAGGGAACCGTGGTGAGCAGTTTGGAGCTGTATGCCTGTCTTTAAAAGTCACTCTATGACCCAAGCACTTATTGGCATCAAGGAAACTCACCTGCAAGCAAATTGCCAGGTTCACTCGACAGCCAAACGAGGTGCTAACGGCCCGCGGGTGGAGGCCCAGGTCTTTGAACAGTTTCGAGAAAGACTGGGTGAGTGCTATTCGGGGCCGCTCCTCTGCCACCACCACACAGGTCCGCACGCGGGACAAGTCCAGTCCTCGTGCCTACAAATAATGACAGAGGCAGGAGGTCACACTTGCCAGTGTTAAGGTGTGACCTGCAGGCTCCTCACCCAGACCCACAAAGCCACAGAAACTCCACACAGATATTCATTCCCAGAGCTCTGTGTCCACGCGAGTAATCAAAATGCTGTAGAACATATGTATAAACAAAAAACGGCCCATATCCGATTATAAAGGATGCCATTACAAATTTTACATAACTGAAGAAGCATAATGAGGAGCAAAGTTGAAGAAAAACAAGATCTGGATAAAATAATTAAAGGATAGGGTATGGGGAGGAACAGAAGCACCTGTATGAAGCATCTGTGAGCCTGGATACACAGAACACACATTGGAGAGAAATGAGAAACCTACTTTTAATACACAAATGGAAAACAAAAACATCTGGGCAGCTTCTTAAACATCATTCTCCTTTCATGTCCTGAGCTTAAACTGTCATGATGAAGCACAGCTCAGTTCTGCCCAAATTCCATGGAAACACCCTGGAGCTGGAAATGAAGTGCCTTGATCATAACACTCCCAGACAGAGCCCAGGAAGAGCACAGACCATGATGGGAGTGGCACTGACATGGGAGCGTGGGAGCAACAGGGTCTCCAGAGCACACGGGAAAGTCACCAGGAGCCAGCCACAGCTGGGAGAGCTGACAGGGCCCCTGTGCTGAGGGTGACCTTCCAGACATGCTGCTACATGGGGCAAGATGAGTGTGCAAAACAGGAGGGCTCCCAACACACATGTGTCCTGGGAAAATGCAGCCTAGGCTCCGGACGGTGCATTTGGGGTCAGAGATTCAAAATCTGGCCCTGAAGTTTATTAAATATAAGCCTTGGAAAAGGTGCTTGATTTCTCTGTAACATAAGTCTTCTCATCTTTAAAATGGAGAAAATAATGGATCCAGTTCAGACAGCCACTATAAGGGTTAAACTAATCAAAGTGTGAAGTGCTTAGATATCATTTATTTCATTTGGTCATCTACATATGCACCCTGTGGGAAAGTTCATGAAACATAATCCTTTTATAGCATAACATAGGTGGACATGAAAAATAATTATATTTTATAAATTTCTTTTGCTACATAACTTCAAGAAATAATATGCCAGCAAATTTGGAAAACTCAGAAGTGGCCACAGGACTGGAAAAGGTCAGTTTTCATTTCAATCCCAAGGAAAGGCAACGCCAAAGAATGTTCAAACTACCACACAACTGCACTCACATCACACGCTAGCAAAGTAATGCTCAAAATTCTCCAAGCCAGGCTTCAACAGTACATGAACCGTGAACTTCCAGATGTTCAAGATGAATTTAGAAAAGGCAGAGGAACCAGAGATCAAATTGCCAATATCTACTGGATCATCGAAAAAGCAAGACAGTTCCAGAAAAGCATCTATTTCTGCCTTATTGACTATGCCAAAGCCTTTGACTGTGTGGATCATGAGAAACTGGAAAATTCTTCAAGAGATGGGAATACCAGACCACCTGACCCGCCTTTTGAGAAATCTATATGCAGGTCAGGAAGCAACGGTTAGAACTGGACATGGAACAAGAGACTGGTTCCAAACAAGAAAAGGAGTACGTCAAACTTGTATACTGTCACCCTGCTTATTTAACTTATATGCAGAGTACATCATGCAAAATGCTGGGCTGGATGAAGCACAAGACAGAATCAAGACTGGCAGGAGAAATATCAATAACCTCAGATTTGCAGGTGACATTACCCTTGTGGCAGAAAGTGAAGAACTAAAGAGCCTCTTGATGAAAGTGAAAGAGGAGAGTGAAAAAGTTGGCTTAAAGCTCAACATTCAGAAAACAAAGATCATTGCATCTGATCCAATCACTTCATGACAAATAGATGGGGAAACAATGGAAACAGTGGCTGACTTAATTTTGGGGGGCTCCAAAATCACTGCAAATGGTGACTGCAGCCATGAAATCAAAAGACACTTACTCCTTGGAAGGAAAGTTATGACCAACCTAGACAGCATATTAAAAATCAGAGACATTCCTTTGCCAACAAAGGTCCATCTAGTCAAGGCTATGGTTTTTCCAGCAATTATGTAGGGATATGAGAGTTGGACCATAAAGAAAGCTGAGCACCAAAGAATTGATGCTTTTGAACTGTGGTGTTGGAGAAGACTCTTGAGAGTCCCTTGGACTGGAAGGAGATCCAACCAGTCCATCCTAAAGGAGATCAGTCCTGAGTGTTCACTGGAAGGACTGATGTTGAAGCTGAAACTCCAAAACTTTGGCCACCTGATGCGAAGAGCTGACTCATTTGAAAAGACCCTGATGTTGGGAAAGATTGAAGACAGGAGAAGGGGATGACAGAGGATGAGATGGTTGGATGGCATCACCGACTCAATGGACATGAGTTTGGATAAACTCCAGAAGTTGGTGATGGACAGGGAGGCCTGGCGTGCTGTGGTCCATGGGGTCACAAAGAGTTGGACATGACTGAGCAACTGAACTGAACTGAAGAAATAATAATTTATTTCTGTAGCTTAATATCAAAGTTACCATGCATTTTGCTTTCTTGTTCAAGCTTAATGCATTGGGTCTGAATAGGGAAACAAAATCCAGGCGAGAGAAATACATTGCTTTACTAATGGCAAGTGTATAGGTAATTTGTATGTATATATACATACACACAAATATAATCTGGGTATATACATACACATTCTCTCTCTCACATATATCTGAGCATAGAAACAGTGAACAGTTGGAATACTAACCATAATAGGTCTTATAATTATTCTCTCCTAGTTACTTGAGTATTATGGTATGTCTACCCAGATGTCCTCGGCTACCACATAATGGTAACTGAATATTAACAAATAAAACCAAACCACTGTTCACTGAACTGTACAACTGAAATCTGGTTAGGACTCAGATATACCAATCAAGATCTTCAAGAAAAACGAAATGAGTGGCTAAATTAACATCTATGACTGTAACCTCATCACTGGAATAAAACTGAATCCACCAACAATTAAAAAGGCGGTTCAGGCCCCTCTGAGCAGCCCTAACACAATTAAAGACATCAATAACGTATGTTCTGATCTCTAACTCTGGCAGTGGGAAAACATTCATGGTATAAAACAAAGTTTTCATGTAGAAGCAACTCTGTAAGCCTTCACGTGACAGTGGCTGCCTCACCACACCTCTTCCACGCCCTCAGATACTGTGCTTCCCCAGGATGCTGGCAATGCTCCAGGCACTCTTGGGTTGCTCACCTTGAGGGATTCTGTCTGCGATCCCAGCCCCTTGGTGCACAGTTCCATCACTGAATAGGAGCAAAACGTATCCCGGACTTTGTACTGACTCACGGCAAGCAGCCACAAGGCAGGGTTGGTCTCCAGCTCTGCCGGCGGGATGAGGATGGACTGGTGCCCAGAGTACACGCTGTAGAGAGACACGGGAGGGCTCAGCCAGGATAGAGGAGGGGGATCCACTGGCCTCTGAGAAACACCTGCTTCCATTTGCAAGAGGGGACAGTCACATCAACTCTACTCCCGAGTGGTTTTAAATAAAAAACAAAAGGTGTTTATGAAAACATTCTGAAAAATACAAAAGAATTATGTAACTATGATCTGCAGTTACTGTCATTTTGAGCACTTAGTGAGGTATCTCAAAGCTATGATGCTGGTAGGTTTCTCTCAAAGCTACTACACTAAGAAACTAAATCTCACAGTGGGAAACATAGGACTGAATTTTGGTTAAAAGGTCTGAAAGTTTGGAAGAGCAGTTGACGAACTGGATGCTGTCTGGTTTAGCAACTGAAGTTTCATTGGGACCTGGCCCTCAGTCCTTGCAGTACTGTCGTCCGTGGCCGCCACATCAACAGGCAGAGAAGAGGGTTGCCACAGAGGCCGTGCAGCCTACATGTGTACTGAACAGCCAACTGAGGAAAAGCATGCCCAACTTGAGTTCAGAAAACTGACATTCAGAGTAAATAAAACGAAGACAATTAGAATAAGATTATAATTTCATTCAAAATGATCCAAATAAATACCAAAAAATAACTAAGGAAAATACATGCATTCTCTTGTTGTAGACTCAGTCATGCCCTACTCTGTGACCCCACAGACTGCAGCCCACTAGCCTCCTCTGTCTATGGAATTCTCCAGACAAGAATACTGGAGTGGGTAGCCTTTCCCTTTCTCCAGGGGATCTTCCCGACCCAGGGGTTGAACCCAGGTCTCCCACACGGCAGGCAGGTTCTTCACCACCTGAGCCCCAGGGACGCCTGGATGGAGTAGCTGACTGACAAAGCTGTGTTAGCTTCCAGGGTACAGCACAGTGATTCAGTTATACACACACACAGATGTATTTTTTCCAGATTCTTTTCCCTCATATGGCATTACAAAATATTGAGTATAGTTCCCTGTGCTATACAGTAGGGCCTTCCTTGTTGGTTACCTATTTTATATATAATTGTGTGCATACGTTAATCTCAAACTCTTAATTTATCCCTCTCCCCACCACTTTTCCCTTTGGTAAGTTTGTTTTCTATGTCAGTGGGTCTATTTCTGCTTTGTGAATAAACTCCTTTGTATCTTTTTTCTTTTGCATTCTACATATAAGCAATGTCATATGGTATCTCTCTCTGGTTTATTTCACTTAGCATGGTAATCTCTATATTAATCCATGGTGCTGCAAATGGCATTATTTCATTCTTTTTTTAGAGCTGAGTAATATTCCTTTGTGTATATATACCATATCGTCCTTATCCATCTGTCAATGGACATTAAAGCTGCATCTCCGTCTTTGCAAATTTCCATGCTGCTGTAAACAATGCTGCAATGAACACTGGGGTACATATATCTTTTCAAATTAGAGTTTTCTCCAGATAGATGCCCAGGAGTGGAACTGCAGGATCACATGGTAACTCCATCTTTAGATTTTTTAAGAAACCTCTATTCTCCATAATGGCTGCACAAATTTACAATCTCACCAACACTGTAGGAGGGTTTCTCTTTCTCCACACCCTCTCCAGAGTTTATTATTTGTAGACTTTTTGATGATGGCCATTCTGACTATATGAAGTGATATCTCATTATAGTTTTGATTTGCATTTCTCTAACAATTAGCAATGCTGTTAAGCATCTTTTCACGTGCCTGTTGGCCATCTGTGTGTCTTCTCTGGAGAAATGTCATTTTAGATTTCTGTCCACTTTTTGATTGAGTTTTTTTAAAATATTGAGCTGCATGAGTTCTTTGCGTATTTTGAAGGTTACTCTCCTGTTGGTTGCATCATTTGCAAATATTTACTCCCAGTCAATATGTTGTCTTTTTGTTTATGGTTTCCTTTGCTGTGCCAAAGCTTTGAAGTTTAATTAGGTCACATTTGTTTTTATTTCCATTACTCCAGGAGATGGAGTCAAGAAGATATTGCTTGGATTGATGTGTTTCGTCTATGTTTTCCTCTATGAGTATTATAGTATCTGGTCTTAAGTTTAGGTATCTAATCTCTTTTGAGTTTATTTTTGCCTGTGGTGTTAAAGAATGATCTAATTTCATTTTTTTTTACATATAGCTATACAGTTTTCCTGGTATCACATACTAAAGAGACTATCTATTCTCCAGTATAGATAGTCTTGCCTCCTATGTCCTAGACTAATCAACCACAGGTGCAGGGGTTTCTCTCTGTACTTTCTATCCCGCTTCCATTGACCTATATGCTAGCACCATACTGTATTGATGACTGCAGCTTTGTAGTATAGTCTGAAGTAAGGGAGCCTAATTCCTCCGGTTCCATTCTTTCTCAGGATTGCTTTGGCTATTCAGTCTTTCATGTTTTCATACAAATTTAAATTTCCATACAAATTAAACTTTTTTGTTCTAGATCTGTGAAAAATGCCCTTGGTAATTTGATAGGCATTGTGTAGATTGTCCTGGGCAATACAGTCATTTTAACAATACTGAATCTTTCAGTCTAAGAACACAGTGTATCTTTCCATTTGTTTGTGTCCTCTTCAATTTCTTTCATCAGCATCTTACAGTTTTCAGAGTACAGGTCTTTTTGCCTCCTTAGGAGGTTTATTCCTAAGTATTTTATTTTTTTTGATGTGATGGTAAATGGGGTAGTTTCCTTAATTTTTCTCTCTTCCCTTTCACTGTTAATGCAACCGATTTCTGTGTATCCTGCTAACTTACTTAATTAACTTTATGAGCTCCAGTAGTTGCAAGCTGAATCCAACAATATTAAATGGATCATATACAACAATCAAGGGAAATTCAGCCCAGGGATGCATGGATTTTTTAGTATTTTCAAATCAGGGTAGTACTCTACACTAACAAATTGAAGAATAAAAACCATATGATCATCTGAATAGATGCAGAAAAAGCTTTTGGTAAAATTCAACATCCATTTATGATTAAAAACTCTCCAGAAAGTTGGAGAAGGAAACGGCAACCCACTCCAGTATTCTTGCCTGGAGAATCCTATGGACAGATGAGCCTGGGAGGTCATGGTCCACGAGGTTGCAGAGAGTTGGACACAACTGAAGCGACTAAGCACACACTCCAGAAAGTAGGTATGGAGGACTTATATGACAAACCCACAGCTAACATACTCAGTGGTGAAGAGCGGAAAGCATTTGCTCTGAGATCAAATGCTACAAGCTGGTGACTGCTTTCAGTTCAGTTCAGTTCAGTTACTCAGTCATGTCCAACTCTTTGTGATCCCATGAACTGAAGCACACCAGGCCTCCCTGTCCATCACCAACTTCCGGAGTATACTCAAACTCATGTCCATTGAGTCCGTGTTGCCATCTAATCACCTCATCCTCTGTCATCACCTTCTCCTCCTGCTTTCAATTGTTCCCCAGCATCAGGGTCCTTTCCAATGAGTCGGTTTTTCGCATCAGGTGGACAAAGTATTGGAGTTTCAGCTTCAACATCAGTCCTTCCAATGAATATTCAGGACTGATTTCCTTTAGGATGGACTGGTTGGATCTCCTTGCAGTACAAGGGACTCTGAAGAGTATTCTCCAACACCACAGTTCAAAAGCATCAATTCTTCAGTGCCCAGCTTTCTTTGGAGTCCCAACTCTCACATCTCTACATGACTACTGGAAAAACCATAGTTTTGACCAAATGGAACTTTGTTGACAAAGGAATGTCTCTGATTTTTAATATGCTGTCCAGCTGGGTCATAGCTTTTCTTCCAAGGAGCAAGCGTCTTTTCATTTCATGGCTGCAATCACCATCTGCAGTGATTTTGGAGCTCCCCAAAATTAAGTCTCTCACTGTTTCCACTGCTTCCCCATCTCTTTGCCATGAAATGATGGGACCAGATGCCATGATCTTAGTTTTCTGTATGTTGAGCTTTAAACCAACTTTTCCACTCTCTTCTTTCATCAAGAGGCTCTTTAGTTCTTCTTCACTTTCTGCCATAAGGGTGGCATCATCTGCTTATCTGAGACTGTTGACATTTCTCCCAGCAATCTTGATTCCAGCTTGTGCTTCATCCAGCCCAGCATTTTCCCTGATGTACCCTGCATATAAATTAAATAAGCAGGGTGACAATATACAGCCTTGACAAACTCCTTTCCCAATTTGGAACCAGCCTCTTGTTACATGTCCAGTTCTAACTTACTTCCTGACCTGCATACACATTTCTCAAGAGGCAGGTCAGGTGGTCTGGTATTCCCATCTCTTTCAGAATTTTCCACAGTTTCTCATGATCCACACAGTCAAAGGCTTTGGCATAGTCAATAAGGCAGAAATAGATGCTTTTCTGGAGCTGTCTTGCTTTTTCGATGATCCAGTGGATACTGGCAATTTGATCTCTGGTTCCTCTGCCTTTTCTAAATACAGCTCGAACACCTGGAAGTTCATGGTTCATGTTTTGCTGAAGCCTGGCTTGGAGAATTTTGAGCATCACTTTACTAGTGTGTGAAATGAGTGTGATTGTGCAGTAGTTTGAGCATTCTTTGGCATTGCCTTTCTTTGGGATTGGAATGAAAACTGACCTTTTCCAGTCCTGTGGCCACTGCTGAGTTTTCCAAATTTGCTGGCATGTTTAGTGCAGCACTTTCAGAGCATCTTTTATGATTTGAAATAGCTCAACTGGAATTCCATCACCTCCACTAGCTTTGTTCATAGTGATGCTTCCTAACGCAAAACCTGACTTCACACTCTAGGATGTCTGGCTCTAGGTGAGTGATCACACCATCATGATTATCTGGGTAGTGAAGATCTTTTTTGTACAGTTCTTCTGTGTATTCTTGTCACCTCTTCTTAATATTTTCTGCTTTTGTTAGGTCCGTACCATTTCTGTCCTTTATTGTGCCCATCTTTGCACAAAATGTTCCCTTGGTATCTGTAATTTTCTCGAAGAGATCTCTAGTCTTTCCCATTCTATTGTTTTCCTCTATTTCTTTGCACTGATCACTGAA